CAAGCATATAACCTTTTGTACTGACTTCTAGTTCTACCAAATGAGATACAAGGCGGTGGGGGGGGGAGCTGAGTGTTTAGGGTCAGACATAACATAACATAACAATTTCGCTTTATTCCAGAAACAGTACTTGTGGTACAGTGTGGAATTTTCAGCACATATCTACAATATTGCATCTAATTTCATCGTACATTTAAAAGGAGTATTATAAAAAAAAATATAAAAAAAAACCAAAAAAAGAAACACAGAAATAACCAAAAAAAATGCAAATAAAAATACTGAGTAAAAAAGAAGATCAACACAAATAATGAAAAAAATATTTCAGTATTAGTTAGTGGAAGCTACGATATGTGTATGCGTGGTGAACAGTAACAGCTATAATCATACGGGAAATTATGAGATGTTCTTAAAAAAATGTTTATAGCCAAGATGATCAGTTAATTTGATTGAACAACACTAAGCAATCATAAGATAAACATTTCAGGTTGTTTTTTTTTGTCAGTACTAATGCGGTTGTTTGTAGTGGCAGTGTGAGGAATCATGCATAATACAAAATTTTTAAGATGGTGATAGTGGCAATAACAAACAAGATTGTCAGTTAAATAGTGCCGAACAAAGAACAACCACAAAACTAATGTTACATGATGGTTAATGACGGGACAATTTTTAATAATCATAGTGATAATATAGTCGGACCCAGTAGATGTACAAAGAAGGAATAGAATAAAGAATAAAAATGTAAGCCAATGATAATAATTTTAAGCAGCTAAGTATGTTTAAGAAGGTTGTTCACTATAGAGTACAAATAAGAGAGTGTAAGGGGGAAAAAACAAGGGCCAAAATTATGTTATTAACAACAAAGCAAGTCATAGGTTTCACGCCTAACATTGTCTCTGTCACTTAGAACACGGGCCAAATATGGTATCGTTGAGTTCCTATACTTGGTTGTGCGAGCATATATTATTTTATACTGATTTCTGGTTCTACCTGATGAGATGCAGGGAGAGAGTTGGGAATAGAGGGGGTGTTGGGGGTCAGAGAGTATGGTTTTAGACCATTTCTCACATGTATTCAGATGCTTATCCACTAATGTTGTGACGAGCTGACTGAGTTTTACACCGCTAGTCCTGCTAACTACCTTCAACATCCTTCTCAGGATGGTATAATCCTTTTTCAGTAACCCAGGAAAGACTAACGGGGAACAGTAAAGTAGAATAGGTAGGATACGAGAGTTGACAAATTGTGTAAGCAGAGGTTGAGGGACTCCAGTTAGTCTGAGTTTCTTAATGTAGTAGGTTAGACGAAACACTTTCTTGGAAATCATTTGGATATGAGATGACCAAGTAAGGTCGGAAGATATAACTAATCCGAGGTATTTTGCATTAGACTTTGTTTCAATTATAGTCCCCTCGATTCTACAGACATCATGAGTGCTTACTAGTGTTTGTAGATCTCGTTTATGCCTAAAGGAGAAGTCGACAGTCTGGCATTTTGAGGGATTCAGCGTTAGGCCATTTATTTTAGACCACTGACTGATGTCCGACAGGAAGCTATTTAATTTGAAGCAGTCTGACTGAGACTTAACGGGAAGCCAAACAGTCAGGTCATCTGCATATTTGACGAATATATATTTGACAATATAGATTTAGACGATTTCTCACATGAGTTGTCCAGATGTCTAATCAACCGATGTAGTGACAAGCTGAATGACCAAGTTGCCCCACAACTTACCCTACTGACAACCTATAAAATACCCTTCTCCTCAATATGATGTAGTCTTTTTTCAGTAGACCAGCAAAGACTAAGTTATGGGGAGCAGTAAAGTACAATAGGTAAGATACACACAAGTGATTCCAGATTGTTTTGTCTTCTTCATGTAGTAGCGCGCCTAGACGGAACATTTTCTTGGAGATTGGATAAAATATTATGGAATGATCAAGTAAGGTCAGAGGAGAGAACTATAAGAAAATAATAAAAACTGCCATAAACAATCGATCTTGTATTATTGTACCAAATGCTGAAAATTCCCCACTGTAACACATTAGTACTATTTTGGAATAAAGCAAATTATTAATACAACTATATATTTTTGGCTTTTTCAATAGTTATAAGCCGCCAGACTGACTGCATAGTAGGTTCCAAGGGTGATCGAGTTTAGTCTCTATCTTAAAAACCTAATTTTTTTCTCTGATTTTTCTGTAGTTGGTTTGTAAAGATTTTTTTCCTTCACGTTCCCCAGTGGAACATAGGGCTTCAAGCTAATGGCTTGAAGTTTCTGTAGCAGTATTTATTTTACAGGATGCGGTTACTAGCCTCAGGCCAAACCTTTCCTCTTTACCACCATTATTTCTGGCTCAGCGAGGTAAAGGAGTGCGTCTGTGACCGGGATGAAACCCCGGACCATGTGCATGGTTGGCGAGAGTCCTGACCGCTATACCACTGATTTGTTTTCACGAGTTGATCACGGATTGATTGATATCAGTTAGAGAACCACTGAAAACCAGCCACAAGGAGTACTGGACAGCCAGCTGTTTCATCCTAGTTTGGGAATCATCACCATTGAGCACCCCTGCCACGTTCGAATCTAGAACCTTCAGGTTACAAGGTCAACTAGCTGTCTCGGTCGCCATTCAGCCACTGGGACCCGATTAAATGGCCAACCGATGAATTCTAACTTCTACCAATTCGTGGTCTTATTTAGCGCGACTGGCACTAACCAATGTCATCGGTGGGGCATCTATCCTCACGTGTGACATGTGGATGGACCTCACTAGTCAAGACTTCTCACTAGAACTCACTCCAGGAAACTCCGTCATCCTGTAGCAAGCAAGTCACTAGCGAGCATCAGATTAATTTTCTATAGTTTGGTTTGTAAGGATAACTTAATGAAGACATCTTTTTTTTCTTTGGGACGGAATATAGACTATAGGTTTTGAAGCTAATTAACTTTTACACCGGTTTAAAAATCTTAAATAATATCCGTTTTTAACAGGAGTATATCCATCAACGGCTGTACAAATATGCTGAATCCTCTTACAGAACAAATTTACCAAGGACGAAACAGCTATCCAGTACACCTTAGTTCCCAGTGGGGCCTTCTAAATGAAGTCAGTTCCTAATCACATCCCCCCCACCACTACAGAGATCGAACCTGGGACCTTTAGGTTATGTGATCGAACTCGTTGGACATTCGTTCAGCCAAATAGACTGGAATCCAGTAATCCATCAATTCTAACTTCGGTCATCAATTAGTGATATCATGGTGCTACCACCACCACCACCACGAATAGCATCATCGATGAGCATCCCCACTTTACCTTGATATCATGAACCCACCATCATACTTGTAACACCGACTTCCAGTAATGCTGTCTCTAACTGGCTTTTAAGGCTTGCATAAGTGATAAGATTTTATTTTTATTTTGATAAGTCACACAGAGTTACACAGTAATATTAACTGATGACCACGTTTCCAGCACAATTTATCATTGCCACTCATAATCATATCAAGTTACTCACATAACTTTCTAACTTCATTTATATACATGAGTCGAAATTGATGATTAGACATTTGAATAAAATCAATATATGATAATGTACATTCAGAGATAATAATATGAGTGTTATTCACCAAATGCAATCAGATGGGAAAAATAAGACGAGTGTTTTTATAGTCAAATAAATAAGTAACTTGTTAGAATGTTGTGAGGTGCTTGAATTGAAATAGAATTTTATGATTATTTATTACCCTCCTCTGATTTGACTGATTGGTGGTAATAATATCTTCCATGCGTATCTCTGGCATTTGCATTGAGTCATTTCTGTTGCATGTGTTGTGTTGGGTGTAGGGAGACTCGATGAACCAGTCAGGATTCAGTAATCGATCTCTCTCTCTTTCCACCTACCCAGATTACTTTTTAGAATTTTGACTCTGTCCGACCCACCCTATTGTGTGTTAATATGCATGCAGTGCAATTGCTGAGCTTCTTTCTAAATTACTTATCTTCTCAGGTCAGGGGTCAACCATTCTTACCCTAGTCACTAAATTCTTATGTCCCAAAAATCTGGCTACCCCTGGATCTACTAGTTTGACCTATGTAGTTGACTCAACTCACAGTCATCGCAGGGTGTTTCGTAAATTATATTATTTTGTCTAATTAGGTCAACCTACAAGGTCCTTTAACCTACAGAGCTTTTCCTATCTGAGTGAGTTTTTAGGTTTGAATGCCACCCTAATTCCCGCCTTTATTAAGAATCCTACATAGGGAGGATCTCAGATGTCGCCTCTTTAAATGGTAAAACTGTAGATGCCTTGTATTCTTTCTCATTTATGCTATCATTATTAGTTTCACCATTATTTTTCCCTTGCTTTTGACCTTTTCTAATCTTCCCAATGAATTTTATAGGATAGTTATCTATTTTATTTCGTCATTTAGGTTTTTTCTTGTGCTACTTAGTGCCATTGCTCGGTTTGTTAAACATTTAACTAAGCCATCCTTTACAGATAACGAACGGATGAGATGAATTATAGTCTAAATATCTATTAGCACAATGCATTTGGCTTCTTATAAACGCTAGTGACTTGCTTGCTACACGACGACAGAGTTTCCCTGGAGTGAGTTCTAGTGAGAAGTTGTGTGAGGATGGATGTCCCACCTACGACATTGGTTGGGTAAAAGTTAGAATTCATGCACTGGCTGGCAACTGAATCGACTCGCGTCCCAGTGGCTGAATGGCAATACGAGCGCCAGCTAGTTGGCCTTGTAACCAGAAGGTCCTGGGTTCGAACCCTGGTGGTGGAGTGGGGATGGGTGGGTGCGTACTGTTGATGATTCCCAGGTACTAGGATGAAACACCTAGCTGTCCAGTACTCCCCTGTGGCTGGTTTTGAAATTAACCTGAAATTCTTACACAAAAATGCATAATTCAAGCAATAATAATACAAATAAAGACGAATATACCATTTAAGAACATGAGGAATAAGAATAGGATAAACTCACTTGACACCACCGTTAATCCTTGTCTGTGGATTAAATACATACAATGGTGCGTAGGGCGATGGGATTGGCTTTTTTATAATTGGTATTCCAGAATCCATGACAACTTTCAATGAATCTTTATTGATCGGATTATTACTTGGTGTCGTTGTCCTTGCCATAATAGTTGTAGTAGGGTTGTTAATAGTATTCATGACTGTTGTTCTTATCACACAATCAATACCACTACTACTTTGATTACTGTTAAGAGTATTGACAAGCGGAGAAGTTGTATTATTATTATTGTTATTCGTGATACAATTACGTTTAGGTGCATTTAAACAACGAGCTTTCAGGTGATTTTGATCATAAGATGAACATGAAGGTGTATGCTCATCTTGTGAAAATTGAGGATATGGGGATGATATTGAGACTGTCTGAGTTTTAGATGGTGATGATTGGACAGAAGTACTTCCTGCTACAGTATTACTATCACTAGTAGAAATCAATTTGAATATAGGAGGTTGAATAGGTGGTGGTGAACACACCGGAGATGCTCTTCGACGTTTTCTAAAATAAAAGAAAGAGGAAAAGAGGTGTGTATGCGTGTGTGGGCGTGATTATACACAGTAAAACAACAATATAAGTGATATTGATTGGTTACAAGATTTCATCATGAGCTGACATTGGTTAGAGAACCCCATTGGTAAACCAGTACTGGAGTACTGGACAGCCAGCTGTTTCGTCCTAGTTTGGGACTCTTCATCAGTACGCACCCACCCCGTTGGAGTTCGAACCCAGGACCTTCTGGTTACAGGGCGAGCTAGCTTGTAGACCGTTAAGTCACTCACTGGAACTTGACCCAATGGCCACTCCATGAATTCTAGCTACTGCCAATTTACGATATAGCACAACCGCTAGCCAATGTCATCACTGGGGAGTATTCGTCCTCACACCCGACCTGGTGCACCCTACTGGTCACGACTTCCCACTGGAACCCCAGGTAACTATCTACCTGAATAGGGCCAGTCGCCTTACTCAGGTCTAAGAGTTCGCTTTGTAACTGGAAAGTCCTGGGTTCGAACCCCGGTGGGTGCGTACTGTGAAGAGTCCCAAACTAGGACGAAACAGCTGGCTGTTCAGTACTCCCAGGCTTTCCAGTGGTTCGCTAACTGATATCAGCTCATGAATAAGTCTTCCATGCAATCAACCAAATCCCTACAAACCAATACGTGATATTGATTAATTTTTCCATTGGGTTCCTGTGTGGAACAAACAGATTCATCAGTAAGATCATATCTCCATGCCATCATCTTGATCTTTGCAGTCCCTCCTTAGCTGGCTAGCTAACTAACTTCATGATTGCCCATAAACTCTGTCATCTCCTGCTCCTCCTCCTCCTGTGCCTCACACGAACTCCTCTATGTGTTATCCTCTCACAGACTCCAATCCAACTCGTCATTTCCCATTTGGATTCCCCCTTCAGCGCATATTCGTTCGAAATACTTCCTTTGAACCAGAATAGATGCGCACTGACTATCATTTATATGTCCAAATCAAGTTCACTTTTAACAGTTTGAAAAAAATTTAGGCATTGGGTATATGATATTCATTATAATAAAATTTTGTTATTATATTTCCCAATGAATGAAAAACAAAAACGATATTGCTGTTTTTACTGACGTTTCGCTATTGAAAGTCAAAATAACAATGAAGATCACTAAACCACTGAGAACAATTTTGAGCTATCCCCATATCACCGATTGTCTCCAGCCGTCATTGGTTTTTACCGTCCGGAGGACCCCCCACCAAGAATTCTACACCTTCTTATGTGACCGGCTGGCTTAAACTAACTATTGTGGATTACATTGACTGACGAAGTCATGTCCTGGTTTCATCACCACTGGCTCTTTTCCAACCTGACCCCATGTCAACTAACATTTCCCTTCAGTCGAGGAAGGCGATGGGGTAGGCATACAAACGTAACACATGTCCTAACCATCTCAGTCGATGTAGCTTCATAGCCTTGTCGATTGATTTCCCCTCCCACCTACCTAGCACTCGACTGATGCCTAACCTCAATATTGCTCACCCTATTATACCACTTGTCATAGGAGATAGAACTAAGACACCTGTGATCAAAGACAGCTAGCTAGCTAGCTAGCTAGCCTTTTCATGTCTTTCACCCTCAATGGCGAGGTCTCGCTCACAGCCATGAAGGACGGAATGGACTTCTGAGCAGTACACATGCCCTTTGGTCGATAGCCAGTCGGATATCATGTCTGCTAAGCTAGAGACGGAGTAAACTGGCATATACGAAATGAGGATGTGCACCGGACTATAGTTCCCTCCCCTATGTTCCACTCGAAACCTAAGAGAATAATAATATTAATAATAATAAATTGTACAAAGAAAATGTGTATGTACAACTAACTCACCTTGACATTAATAATGCTCCTAATTCCTCACCATCATCATCATCATTATTATTATCTCCTTCTATAAAAGTACTATCCGTTGCACTGGACAGATTTGGAGTTGTTTCATGCAGAAACTCATCTCTGCCAAGAAACATTGCTTCTTCATCAAATATTTGTGGTGAATCAGATAATGGTTGAAATCCGGAAGAATGTCGAATACGTCGAACACTACCACCACCGCCACTGCCACCAACTCCCCTAGCGCTGCCGCCACCACCACGCCGGCGACCACGACGACTATTCTTCGTTGTTGTCGTCGTCGTCAATGAATGATTATCTTCAGTTGTTTTATATGTTGTATGACATGTTCTACGTCGTGGTGTTGACTTCAACGGGGAGTCGAGTGTACTTATAGCGCGTATTGGCGGTGGTTGACTAGCTGGTTGTGGGATTGCCTTAACTAGAGATAAAGGAGGTGTTACAATAGGCATTTGATTAAATCTATGCGTATCTTTAGGAGTTGTTATTGTTCCTGTAGACAACAACGGTGATGGTGATGATGATACTTGTAAATGATCATTGGCTGGCTTTGTTTTACAACTTGGTGTAATGTTGAAAATGTCTTTTTACAAATAAAGAGAGAAAGAGAGAGAGAGAGGCAAAAAAGTGAGCGAATGTGGTAGTTATGTGGTAAATAGTTCAAAATAGAAGTCCTGACCGGTAGGGTGCAGCAGGTCGGGTGTGAGGACAAATACTCGCCGAAGATATTCGCTAGGGGTCACGTTATATCGTGAATTGACAAAGTTAGAATTCATGCACTGGATGGCCATTGGATCGAATCCCGGTGGCTTAATGGTATACGAGCTCGCTAGTCTTGTAACCCCCAAGATCCTCGGCTCGAACACAGGCGGTGGATGCGTACTGCTGAAGAGTCCCAAACTAGGACGATATGAACAGCTGTCCAGTATTCCCTGCAGGTTTTCCAATGGTTCTCTAATCATGATCATGATGAAATCCTGTAACCAATCAATCAAATCCCTACAAACCAAACTTCAATATACTTCATAATCCTCTACACTCCCCGGCACCACCGGATATTGTAATCAACCGGAAAATAACTTTTAAGTGTGTTGCTTTACGTGGGATTTTGATTGATTTCAAGCTTGATCACGAATTGACATCGGTTAGAGAAAATCCCTGAAGACCAGTATTGAACGGTTGTTTCGTCCATGTTTGTGACTCTTCAGTAGTACTCAACTACTAATCTATCTATCAAGGATAGAACCCAGGACCCTGAATTCCTAAACAAGAACCAAACAGCCATCCAGTATTCCCCCTATGGTGTTTTCAATGCTTCTCTAACTGATTTTTCTGAACTTAGCATTCCTCTTCTTGTACCTCACTAACCGCGTTATATAACGGATCTATGGAAAGACTCAACAACACCGAAAACGTATACTGGGTGGACAACTCTAGTGGAAAGCCGTGACCAGTAGGATACAGCAGGTTGAATGAAGGTGAAGCAGTAACTCATTGAAGAAGACATTGTGAAATGGTCATGTTATGTCGTGAATTGGCAGAAGTTGGAATTTATGGACTGGCCGAGTATTGGATCGGCTCCCAGTGGCTCAATTGTCTATGAGTTCGTTAGTCTTGTAACCAGAAGCTCCTGGATTCGAACCCTGTCGGTAAGTCCAAACTGATGAAGAGTCCCGAACCAGGACGAAACAGCTGTCCAGTACTCCCGGTTGGTTTTCCGGTGATTCTTTAACTGATGTCAGCTCATGATGAAATCCTACATCGAATCAACTTAAATAATTTCTATAACAAGTAGGTGACTATTTCCAGAAAATGAAATCCCTCTCCGATAGGATACAAAAATATTTGTAGTTCTGTAGTCGCGTTGACACGGAACTTCAACTCCTAAAAGCTAAGCTCACTGAAAACGATTACCCCAAAACAATTGACATTCGAAACTGGTTACTAACTCAAGTTTCAAAAGAAAACCACTTTCATCAATCTGAATTTTAGAGGTGACCCCAACCCCTTTAGATATGCTCAAAAATCATCTTTCTGAATTAGTCAGTAGGACCTTATTTGTATAGCAAGAATCCAATGGATCCCTTCACCGTTTGTGTAAAAGATAATCTACTGTGGTTTGCTCGCGTCTACATGCATCTATCAGTTCACTTGCTCTAGTAGAGTGATATACACTGGTCGCAGCCACATGTATACGACAGCGTACATATTCCAGCATGATTTTACAAGACAGAAAGGAAAGGTGTGAGAACCTCTACCCTAGAGTAATAATAATAAATATGGATTATGGGGTGTTGTTGTAGAGATTCGGAACAATTTCAATAAAGATTTCATCACTAACCAACATGAATCAGTTCGAGAGATCATTGTATTATCAATGGAAACCAGAGAGTACTAGATTCCCATTTCGCCCAAGTTAGAGACTCTTCGTCAGTCCAACCCACGACTCCCACTCCTACACGGAAGGACAGAAGCCAAGACCTTTAGGTTCAAAGATCAGGCTCATTGAAAACTCAGCCGCTTTGACTGAGGAGGGTTCAATCACCCGTGAATTTTAACTTCAATCAATTCGTGGTATTATACAACGTTCCAACCACGCTGACCAATGCTTTCGATTCGTACCGACTTCACCCTGATATGGTAGACCCTTATTGGTCACGAATTCTCCGTACCCAGTCCGGGCATCCATTTATTCATTTAGTAAGCACAGCAGTGATCTGGAGATTGGAATGATAACTTAGATTACGGGTTTTTGTGTAGGGGTTTTGCTGAAGAGTTATGAACTGGGGCGAAACAACTATCCTGTAGTATACCGTCCCTAGTTAGTTTTCAGTGATTTCTCTAATTGATTACACGATTTCATCATGAGCTGACATTGGTTAGAGAACCACTGGAAAACCTGCAGGGGGTACTGGACAGCTATTCATATCGTCCTAGTTTGGGACTCTCCATCAGTACGCACACACCAGGGTTCGAACCCAGCAGAAGAGTTCCAAACTAGAACGATATGAACAGCTGTCCGGTACTCCCAGGTGTTCCAATGTTTCTCTAGCCAATATCCCCTCATGATGGAATCCTGTAATCAATCAGCCAAATCCCTACAAACCAATACTTGAAGATTTCTCTAAATGATTTATTGGTTCATGACAAGATCTACACTGAAAACAACAATAATAATGGTAATAGTAATAATGACAATAATAACTTACTTTTACGCGGTGTTTTTATCCTCTTTGGACTTTGAATCGATGGATTCGTCGGACCAGTAGACGATGCATTATTATCATGGTGGTTACCTTGTTGTTTAACTGAGACCATATTAGCTAGTAGATTAGAATTACGACGTGACAAACGTGTTGGTACTGATGATGGAGCATTAGTAGTGGTAGTAGTAGTATTCATTGTTATTTCATTATTATTATTACTATTATTATTATTAAATTGTATACAGTCTGTTTGTAAATTTGAAAATTGACTTAAACTTTTCTCCTCTTCAAGTTGACGTCGTTTCCAACGTTCAGCTCTTGACATACCAACAGATAGACAGACATCTTTATATTCACCACCATGAATAGTATTGACAGTTTGACTGCTATCAGCATCATTCACGGCAGACAGATGATGACTTAAACTACTATTATCACGTGATAATAATCCACCAGGTGGATGACCACCTTGAGACTGACTCATTGCACCTGGTGTTGGCTGGGATTGACTTGCTGCTTCTTGTGATTCAATGTATAACAGGCTAGTTAGCATAGAATTAGCACGACGTAATCGACGCAATGGACTAGTTACTGTCAGTGTCGGTTTGATTGGTGACTCATCGACAACGATCGCCTAGAATAAAGTAAAAATAATTTAGAAAAAGTCATCTTGTGGTGAAAGCTGTCTGCAAGCCAAAATTGTAGACAACAATTTACGTCAATGTTTACGTCTCGAATTGTGGTGTCATGAGAAAAAACAACAACTAGGCTTAACCTTGAGGAACTCAACAAGCAATCACAGCAAACTCAGCGTGTGCAAATACGATTCGCAGATATATGGCTTAACTTTCTGAGAAACGGTCACAAGCAGTGTAGAATGACCTTCAGAAGATGTTGCTTCTCTGCTAACAATAACGCTAATAACAATGTAAATAAAAATCTATAAATATCTGTTGATTTTCTCAATGAACGATCTGTTGCCAGACCCTTGCCTTCTGTCGTTACACTCTCTTCAACTTGTATAGGCAGCAAGCATCGTTCTAACTATAAGTAACGACGACACAGATGAGGGATGCCAAACCAAGTCAGTCAGCTAGGATCGGAGACAGCAAAACTTCTACCAAAATCTTGCTGTCTCTCTGATATGTATCCACATATATATTTATGTGTGTGTATGTTGGTCTCTCTTTCTGTTTGCTCGCTTAGTCTGTGACCATTTCACTTGTATGAACTTGTCTCCTTTAACAATGTATATTCTCTTTATATTATATATAATATGTGTGTTTGTTGACAGTCCGTTGCTTGGTGACATATATCCATATTATGTGTGGTTGTTGACATGTCTGTTATATTTCGCTATGTATATGTGGATCGATACTTCATTATAATTAGCCATTCATGTTAAGACTGTTTAATGATTGTTCACACCCTTGTCATATATATTTCGCTCACACAATTTGTGTGAACTACTTTACTTTACTTACTTACCACTTTGGTGTGAGACCATTTGTTTTCGTCTCCTTGTGTTTGGACAATAGAAGTATCATCGCAAACCTAGTGGTCTTCTGATTTCCGCCTTCTTGCGTCAGGACTATTAAATTTCTCGACCAGTCCATAACAATAACTTAGCGACGAGTACATAACAATTTGGCGACGGGGAAAACTAGAACATAACACTCTCTCAATCTGCTTGCCTGTCTTTGATCCTAAGTGTCTGTGTTCTATCTCCCATGTTACGTGATACAGCAGGGTGAGTAATATTGAGGTTAGGTTTTGGTCGAGTGTTAGGTGGTAAGGAGGGAAAGGCAATCAATGAGGTTGTGAAACTGAACAGACATAGAAATAACCAAAACAAAGACTGCCGAGAACAGAGTGAGACAGAGGTGTGGTGCAGAAGTCCGATGTTCCATTCGTAACCCAAAGGAATTATCGATTGATGTTAGCGCCATATCACAAATTGACAAATTTACACATTACAGACCAATATATTCCAGTTTAGGTGGGTGAATTGCCAACAAGCTCGGCCTTGTAACCGGAAGGTCACCACTGAACCCCTTCACCGGGGATCGAACCCGTGACCTTCCGGTTACAAGGCCGAGCTTGTTGGCAATTCACCCACCTAAACTGGAATATATTGGTCTGTAATGTGTAAATTTGTCAATTTGTGATATGGCGCTAACATCAATCGATGATTCCTTTGGGTTACGAATGGAACATCGGACCTCTGCACCACACCTCTGTCTCACTCTGTTCTCGGCAGTTTTTGTTTTGGTTATTTCTACGTCTGTTCATAAGCTTTCATCTTTATTTCACCCTCGGATCCACGTTCAACTAATATTTTCCCATTTTAGTTCCACTTGAAGACTTGTCTGCTATGTGATTACACTCGACGGTCTCCTAAGCGTCGTATATCTGATCCATTCCCATCGGCATATTTTTTGTGCCATAAGTTCTTGGTTGGTTCTTTTCCATAGTTTCTTGTAACGCTTATGCTTTCAGGCCTGCTATATTGGATCATCAGTATGGAGATGGAGATTTTATTTATTTATTTATTTAAACGCAGAAAAAACTTGGTACAATATGGCACCAAAAAAGATGCGCCACACAATAATAATAAAACAACATAGATCAAAAGTAAAAAAATCTAAGTAGATAACGGATAAAGAACTTCATCTGGAAGGAAAGCAGTCATGCTTAACAAGTTCAAACAGTATTCATCAACTGTCGTCAGGAAGTTAAGAAAGAAGGAGATCGCAGCACGTTCGCAACTGATTACGATTCTTGGCCATATCCGATAACGTTTCGAGCCATCTCGCGCACCCCAACCAGTAAGTCGTGACACACCAACCGATGCTAATCTAGCACAAACATCCTTCATCCCACGACGCCACGTCATGGACTGACCACCTCTCCGCCTTTTCCATCCCGTCCCAGAGCTGGCTAGCGAACAGAGACCTGTACGGAAGCCTCTGGGATGACATTCACAGCACATGTCCAAGCCACCGGAGCCGGTGTTTCCAAATGACGACACTCAATGAATCGTGATCTCCACTGTGTTCAAACACACGCCGGCGAACCTCAGAATTACTCACGCGATGATGCCATCCATCGAACGCAAGCAATCCTGCGGAGACAGCGATGATTGAACACGCAGAGTCGCCACACATCCTCAGCTCGGAGATGGAGAAGTCAGTTGTTGAAGGAAAGTATGAAGTGGTGTCTTGGAAATAGTTTTTCTTGGAACATACAGTTACAGAATTTCATCATGAGCTGACATCGTTTAGAGTACTATTGGAAAACTTGGGAATACTGGATAGGTGTTTCATCCAATTTAGGGACTCTTCATCAGTACACACACACCGCCACGGTTCGAACCCAGGACGTTCTGGTTACAAGGCCAGAGAGCTCGTAGATCATTAAAAGCCAGTTCATGAATTCCAACTTCTGCCAATTCACGATATAGCGCGACCACTAGCCAATGTCTTTGGCGAGTATTTGCCCTCACACCCAACCTGCTGTACCCTACTGCTCTCTCTCTCTAACCGATGTCATCTCATGATGAAATCCTGTAACCAATCAATAAATCAATCAAATCCCTACAAAAAATCAATAACACTTGAATACCTTATTTTTCGTTTTTTCAGCAGCTGCCAGCTTAGCTCTTTCCCAACGTGGATATGATTTTTCTGGATTAGGTGTTTCATGTACAGAACGTCGATAATAATATGAAGAAGTTTTTGAGCTGGCATTAGCTGATTTGGATGATTCTTTTTTCAATGATGTTCGTTGTGATTTACGATTAGATGGTTTTGAACTATTATTATTAGCACTATTTTGAGGTGAAACAATAAGTGAACGTGATCGATCTGAACTTTTTGGTGTACGTGTAGTTCTCGCAGTACATGATGATGGAGTTCGCTTCGATGCTGTTGCTGATGATGATGGACGTCGTTGTCTTGAAGCAGTAGGCGTTGTACTAGAGAAGTATATATGAAATAAAATAAAATAGAATTCTATGATAGCTAATGTGTAGTCCAAATTTATAAATTAACTTTTCATGGGTTTTATATCACATAATATTGATTCACTGTAATCTACGAATGTTTGGCATGCAATTCGCTACCCTTGTCAAATGTAAGATTATGTTACAGGACTGGATTGGACTACACTGACTGACTCCTAGATTAGAAATAGGGAGTGAAGTGGTTGGTGGAACACGCTGACCGCTTCACTTATTTGGGAAGTTGCATCAGCCCCAACGCCAACGGGTTGATCTCTGACGAAATCTCAGCACGGATACAGAGGGCTAGTTTCGCATATGCCAGTTTAAGCCGTCTCTGGCCTAGTAGACGTGATATCCGGCTAGCTGGCTGTCGACCAAAGGGCGGGTGAACTGCTCATCAGTCCACTCCATCCTCCTATATGCTTGTGAGTGAGACCTGGTCATTGACAGTGGAAGACATGAGATGGCTGGTTAGCTAGCTGTCTTTGATAATAGGTGTCTGCGTTCTATCTCCCGTGTTAACTGGCGGTATAATAGGGTGAGCAATATTGAGGTTAGGCATCAGTCGAGTGCTACGTGAGGAGGGGAAATCAACCGACGAGGCTATGAAGCTACATCGATTGAAATGGTTAGGACATGTGTTACGTTCGTATGCCTAGTCATCGTCTTACTCGACCAACAGGCAATGTTAACTGACATAGGGTCAGGCTGTAAAAGAGCCAATGGTGATCAAACCAGAACATGACTTCGTTAGCCAATGAAATCCACAACAGTTAGTTTGGGCCAGCCAGCCACGTAGGGAAGTGTAGACTTCCTGACTGGTTGGGGTTTTCCGAACGGTAGAAACCAATGACTGGAGACAATTGGTGATTTGACTCAAAATCGTTCTCAGTGGCTAGCGCAGATGCATTCACTCGCCTTGTGACTTATAATTTCCAATGAAACTATATTGTTCTTCGTTATTACTATTCCTTTTGTCTCATATCCTTGTCTACTGTCTCTACTTTGCATTCCTTTTTTACTTTCTTCCGTTGCTTTGTGTGGTACAATGAGTAGAGTGTGGCGAGTTGAACTGCTGCACATCGGTGCAAAGTAGTTCTATGCCAAAAACAGGCAGACAGACAGACTGTTGCACAGAATTATAGCAGTTCAAAAGTTGCTAAAGTCACTTCATGCAGAATTTTAAAAGCATGATAATGAGCAAAAGTATACGAGAGAAGGAATATTACCTAGAGGAATCATGAGTAGACGTGACAGTGTCATTGACAACAATTTTAGGCCATGTCACCAATAGTTTTTCTAACCATTGGATCTTAACATCCTGGAGAGCCGTCCAACAACAGGTGACAGTCTACACCTCCCTGTCTGTCTGTTTTCAACATAGAACTTTGCACAAATGTGCGGAAGTTCAAGCCGCCACACTCCGTGTAGCACGCGAAGCAAGAGAAGAAAGTACAAGAAAAGCATAATAGAGACAGTGAGCAGAGGTGTGAGACAAAGGAGGAGTAATAACGAAGAACAAAACAGTTTCATTGGATATCATAAGTCACAAGGAGTGGATGCATCTGCGTCACTGAGAACGATTTTGGGCCATGTCACCAATTGTTTCTATCCTTCATTGGTGTTTACCGTCCCGAGGACCCCAGCCTGGAAGTCTACACCTTCTTACGTGGCTTAGACCAACTGTTGTGGATTTCATTGACTGGTGCAGCCATGTTTTTGTTTGACCGCCGCTAGCTTTTTTCCAGCCTGACCCTATGTTGGCGGCTAACATTGCTCGTCGAGGGAGGCGATGGCTAGGCATACGTAACACCTCCCTGAGTAGTGGCTGACTCCATAAATTGATGCCGGGCTTTGATTTGACCACCAATAAACTCTTTTTCCAAATCTAATTCTATGTAAGTTAACGTCGGTGGACTGATGAAACTTCCCAAATAAGCGAAGTAAACAACTCGTTTTGTGGTTAGAGCTGGCTGCTAGCCAAATTGGTAGACAGTAATTTACGTCAATGTTTATGTCCCCAATATTGGTTGTGAGAAAAATAAGAACAAGGACTGATTCAACAACCAACCCCATCAGACTTTGCGTAGGCGGATACAGTTAACATAAAGACGATCTGACATTCAAGAAACAGTCACAAATAGACGAAAGAATAACTTTCAGTGAGAAACAACCACCAATCAGATGACTCTATTTTTCTGCTAACAATAATCTATAATAATGTACATGAAAATCTATAAATATGTGTTGATTTCCTCAACAAACGATCTGTTACCTGGCCCTTGTCTTCTGTTGTTTCAGTTCAACCATTACACTCCTTACCTTTAAGCTAGGAGTCAGTGCAAAATCAGTCCTGAAGCAAATCACATGCCATGATGTTCAGAAGACGCTGTATTTTGTCATCCTCTCTCCCCCCCCCAAGAAGGGTTAATACCATGTGAAAAACACTAGTTCCAACCAGTGCAGTTCGTTAAGTCACCGAGAGATATGCAAGCCCAACACAACATATCCTCAGAAAATTTTCATTTTGATACAGTACAGTAATATTAACTGATGACGTTTCGAGCACAAACTATTGCTCATAAAACAGATAGAAGAAGCGTTGGTGTTGAATAACTACCCTATAAAATTCATTAGGAAGATCAGTAAAGGCCAAAAACAGAATAAAAATAATCGTGGAACTGGTAATAATAACATAAATAGGAGAGAATATAAGGCATCTACAGTTATACCATATAAGGAGGGGACATCTGAGGCCCTACGTAGGATTCTTAATAAAGCAGAAATTAGAGTGACATTTAAACATACAAATTCACTCAGGTAGGACAAGTTCTCTGTAGGCTAAAAGACCCGGTGGACCCAATTAGACAAAATAATATGATTTACAAAATACCCTGCAATGACTGTGAGGTCAACTACATAGGTCAAACTAGTAGGTCAGGGGTAGTCAGATTGTCAGAACATAAGAATTTAGCTAACGGAAGAATAGTTGACTCCTAGAAGATAAGTAATTTAGAAAAAAACTCAGCAATTGCACTTCACGGATTAACACATAACCACACAATAGCATGCTGGGAGAGGTCTAAGATTCTAAGAAGTAATATAGGTAGGTGGAGAGGAAGAGAGAGATTGATTGCTGAATCCTGGTTCATTGAGTCTACACGCAACACAAGCAACAGAAATGACTCAATGCAAATACCACAGATATGCATGGAAGATATTATTATCACCAATTAGTCAAATCAGAAGAGGATAATAAATAATCTCAAAATCCCATTTCAGTTCAAGCACATCACAACATTCTAACAAGTTACTTAGTTTAACTGTAAAAAACACCTTATATCCCATCTGATTGTAATTGATCAATAACACTCATATTATTATTCCTGAGTGTACATTATCCCATATTAATTTTTATTCAAATGTCCAATCATCAGCTTCACTCATGTATATAAATGAAGTAAAAAGTTGTGTGAGTAGTGCGTTGATATGATTATGAGTGGCAATAAATTGTGCTCGAGAAGTGGTCATCAGTTAATATTACTGTATAACAACACTGTGATTTGATAGTGTGAAATATTCCCATTTTATGAATTAAAAGTCAATCTGAACGAAGAATATTCTTTTCAATAATTTCTCTTCAGATTCTTACAATTATAAAATATAATTAATATTTGTGGTCGTTACAACAAAGGCCAGTTATGCGGCGGATACATTTTTAACCTAGAATAACAGATTAGTAGTTATGGAGTGTCAAAATAAACAGTCGTATTTGTGTGACAAACGTGGTAGGCTGAAGTCGATTAACCAGGGCGATCAAGATAACTTCCTTCTCTGCACGTCTGTGTCTATCCTTCACTAGCCATCCAATGTTCACCCAGCAACTCAAAGATGTCTTACCTAACCTTAGCTCTTCTTCATGCATATATCATTTCAACTGTTCCTGTGGTTCAAGTTATATAGGGCGCACGATTAGGCAGGTTCGTCTACGGGTTCAAGAACATTTACCAGCTTGGTTCAGCAGGGGGGAAATTAAGTGCATAAAAAGCTCGATCCTGTCACACTTGGTCGATACTGGACATCGCATCGATGCCGACACAGCTTTCAGGGTTATATACCGAATTCCGAAGTCGTTATCACGTACAGTTAGTTCACTTACGTCTCCTACACATAGCTGAAGCTGTTGCAATAAGATCGACTAAACCAGAACTCTGTATCCAAAAAGAACACGTCCAGACGCCGTTCCTACCGTGGCCAAACTTGGATTGATGATTCTTCTTCTCACCGAGAGTGCTCCTTCCCCTTAACCCTCTTGGTTTTTTCCTTTTTTATTTTGCTTATTATTATGAATATCATTATTACAGTTATTATTATTATTCGTCATAATTTATGCCCTTTATGTAAACATTCCCTCAATACTATCGAATTTTTCATTTATACGGACTTATTATTAGTGATATCTGTTTTCTCAATATATGCCTCTACCTGTTTCATTTAACATATTCGTTATCTCACTATGAACCTCTCATTCCAGTCTTACTATCTCCTGTTTAACTCAGACCACTTTGTACTAGCCACTCACCTGACACCTTTTATAACCTTGAACTGATTTAGTATACAATTGGTGGATGGTGGCTAGCAGTGGAATCCAGGATGCGCATTTCGTCCTAATTGGGACTCGTCAGCTGGATGTACCTGCATTTCTCAGTGAGTGATGATGTTCCCACCGAGGCTCGAACCCAAAATCAAAAATTCAATTCAATACTTGAACTGATTTGTCAATTTTCCTACCCCACACTCTACAATTCTATTATGATTAATCACCACCATTGTCTCCCGTATTACAATATTTTTTAGTTGATTTCAGCCTAGCACGTTTGTCACACAAATACGACTGTTTATTTTGACACACCATGACTACTAATCTGTTATTCTACGTTAAAAATGTATCCGCCGCATAACTGGCCTTTATTGTAACGACCACAAATATTAATTATATTTTATAATTGTAAGAACCTGAAGAGAAATTATTGAAAAGAATATTCTTCGTTCAGATTGACTGTGTGATTTATCAAAATACATTCTTATCCATAATGGAGTTATACTCTACCACCACAGTGCCCAAGTTTTACACTTATATCGTTAAAATTTCAACATCAAACACACCAAATTATAAACTAACTTTGCTGATTTTGTTAGAATGAAAGAGGTAAACAAGCTTAAGAATTTTTAAATAGTTTACATCAATAAATATCAAAAATATATTTTAAAAATAAAGTAATATATTAGACTAACTTTGTAGTAGTCTTTCTTCGCATTTCGCGTTTCACTGATATCCGTTTAGTTGGTGTTCGACACTTACGTTTTGAACGTTGACATGTTATCAGAACTAGTTGAGGTGTTGGTAAATTTGTAGACGATCGATTTTTACAAGACTCTAGATTAGTAGGACATGAATTAACTACATCAGGTACAGTCGGTGTGGATGTCAAGGGAATAGGTGTTTTATCATTAGTGGATGAAAGTGGAACAAGTAATGAATCACTGAATAAAGCTCGTGGAATTGATTGTCTAAGAGAATTACGTGATGCCGGTGGTGATTGTAATCCACTGGAGGAGCTGGTTGTTTTAAGAAGGTAGAAAAAACAAAAGAGGATAAAAATTAAATAGTCTGAATAAGGTCATTTTTGTTATTTAAAGAGTTAAGCAGTTCATATCTGATTGGTGGATGGTGACTAGCAGTAGGATCCAGGATGCACAATCGAAAGGAAAATCTCAAATTCGATAAAATTAATATGACCCGTCGCACAAGAGGTGGCTCTCGTGACCCAAGTGGTCCAGTGGATAACGCTTTGGCGTTTGAAACTATGGGAACTGGGTTCGAGCCTCGGTGGGAACATCATCACTCACTGAGAAATGCAGGTACATCCGCTGGCTGACGAGTCCCAAATAGAACGAAATGCGTTTTATCCTGGATTCCACTGCTAGTCACCATTCACTAATGAAATACTAACTAAATGCCCAGACATCGTCGAAGCATCTGCACAAGAAGCCCATAGACATGTCAACCTGAGACCGAGCACTTCGGTTCAATCAATCGACGGGAAAATCTCAAATTCAATTAAAGTTAAGCAGTTTAATTTATGGTAAACGCCACTCTGCACAAGTACCTGGAAATAGTTTTAAATGTAATGCATTGATCGTTATACATGATGGAAAAGAATTTGTAGCTCAGGTAGAAGTATCTACCACTGTCCTCAGGAACTGTGCTCATATTTTATGTTACCCTCTTGTTAACATTTTTAATGCTTCCTTTTCCAGTAATGTTCTACCTTTTGCATGGAAAAAACATTAAAATTATCCCCATACCAAAACCATCTTCTGATAGTGATATTAAATTTAGGCCTATTGTAATTACTCCTTTTTTTAAATTGATGGAAAAATTACTTTTGCTTCGTCTTGAACCTTCATTGAAACCTTTTAATGATGCTAAACAATTTGCATATAAACATGGTAGCTGTACTTTGGATGCTGCGATTGTCTTATATCATAATGTTGTTTCTTGTTTAGACAAAGGTGCCAAATATGTTCGTGGCGCTTTCCTAGACTACACATCTGCTTTTGACTCTGTACTTAGGGGTCTTTTATTAAATAAGCTTTCGTTGACGCAAACAGGATCGTGGGCTAAGAGTTGGTTGCATTCCTATTTTTCTGATAGAATGCAGTATACTGTATATAACGGCAAATCTTCTGCCTTGCTTACAAAATCCGGTGTTCCACAAGGTACCGTCCTCTCTCCTTTTCTTTTTTCTTTCTACCTATATGACTTGCCTTATTTAAACGAAACTATATTTGTCAAATATGCGTATGATCTGACTGTATCACTGCCTATCATTTCCGAGTGTGACTGCTCCAAACTTAATAGCTATCTGCTGGACATCAGTAAGTGTTCTAAGTCAAATAGTCTTATGTTAAATCCTTTGAAGCATCGACCTGACATACATGAACTAGTTAGTTCCCATAATGCCTGTAGCATAGATGGCACTGAAATTGAAACCAAGTCAAGCATTAAATACCTTGGATTAGTTCTTTCCTCTGACCTTTCATGGTCACCCCACATCTTATCAATCTCTCTTAGAAAATGTTTCGTCTTATCTTCTACATTAAAAAAGTAAGACAATCAGGTATCGACCAACCTTTTCTTCTGCAGTTTGTAAACTCCTGTATTTTAACTATAGTACTCTATTGCTCTCCATTAATCTTTCCTGGGCTTCTCAAAAAAGATTATATCATATTATGAAGGGTATTAAATGCTGTGAGTAGGGCATGTGGTCTGCCACTGCGTGAGCTCGCCAATATTATAGTCGAGAGACATATAACATCCTGTACAAAATGGGCAAAGGCCGTACTGTCAGACCCCCCTGCACGCCCTTTATTCACAACTCTCCTCTTGCATTTCATCAGGTAGGACGAGAAGTCAATATAAGAGGTTATATGCTCAAACCACTAAGTAGAAAAATTCTGCAATACACTATTTAGCCCGTATTTTATGTGATGGAGACATTGGTAAACGTGAAACATATAAGTCACTATGTACAAATTACTATACAAAATGAAGCAGCATAAAATATCCGTGGCAATTGTCTAATATGAGATTTCATAATTCACCTTCTACTGTGAAATTTGACGTATAATCAGTCGAAACTGAAGTAACCAGCATAGTATAAGTCTCAAGGAAACTTAGAGTCAACCTACCGAGGAGAGGTAAACATAGCACCATCCACCTCATCAATATTTTCTTCAATAGTACGCGACTCTGACGTTGTCATTTCTGTATCATTCGGCAAGCACTCCGGTGGCTCCAAACCCAAGTTGATAAAAACATGAAAAAGTGTACGACCGAAAGCTTTCTTGTACCTTTAAAAGTAAAGAAAAAGCCACTAATTTACCTTTCCATAACTTCCAGCTTAAGAAACTTTTTCCATTCACTCCATGTTGGATCACATAAACTAAGTCTACTGATTAACTCCGAAATCTGAATTGAATTAGTTAGGCAATCTTTTCTGCTTACCCAGTCACTGAGTTCATGATCAGCAGACAACTCTGAATCATCACAGAGACATACGAGGCGTGTATGTAGAACGACGATAATCTGAAATTGCAGCCTACCGAAAATTATTATTTGTTAGGTAACTCACTCTCTGGAGACTTTGTCATTTCCTCCTCCAGAGGAATATTTCTCCGAGATCTGTTTGCAAGACATTTTAATATCTTTGTCTACACGCTGGACGAGCAACTAAAGACATGTTTTTAAAATGATTTTAAATACTTCTTTCTCTTCAGATGATAGAGAGTTACATATTTCTGATAATCGGGTGGTAAATTCAATTATTGTTAGTTCGTCATTATCCACAGCATTATTGAAGAGCGTTTGAAGGGCAGAAAATGCGTCACAAGAATCAGACATCTCTAATCACCAAAAATAGGAATGGCATTCACCATTACACTAATAGCACTCAAAATTATTTCAACCACTACTTGACCTTCAAGTAACTACACTATCCAAATGGTGGCGTAGTTTGTGCTACATTATTCAATGCCCTATACATTCAGGACTTAGCAAATTATTCAGAAATCCTTTTTCTTGAGCTTGGTGGCCAATGTTGTCATAGATAAATATGAGTCAGTTTTCAATTGCGAGGAAACGGCGACATACAAGAAGAAACTCTAAAAGGCTACTTAAAGCTAACTTGCACAAACGAACAAATATTCTGATAGAAATGGAAATTATTTTCGTGCAAATTACGTTCATACCCGCGAACAAGAGTATATTTTGTGCTTCCATCAGGCGTTGTGTATAAAAACAGAGAAAAGTTACTGTAGCAGTGGATAATTCCTTTGAATGGTTGGCCACAGCGTTCATCACTGAATATTGGATGCTGACCCTCATTGTTTTAGTCGGTTTGTTTAGCTGAAGGCTTGTGGTCAAGCATCCACACTATTTTTGACACACCATCGTGCTACATTCGTTAGTGCACGTTTCCTAGCTAGTTAAGCAACCAACCTCGCACTAAGATTTGGTCCCGAAATATAATTAGACCGACCAGTTCTAGTGTTTTGCTTTGCCTTCGGTTTACGCAGGACAAATACAATAGAAATTGTGGGTATTAGACCTTGCGTTGGTGTACTTTGTACCACCCGTTGACGTCAAATCCTCAGCCTCTAAACGACAGAAAAGCTCTGACAAACTGGTGTCAGACGAAGGCATCTAAGGTCTTGTGATCCTTAAAGATTTTGCGACGATAATACTAAACATGACCAAATATGTGTATATATCAGGAACACTCGCATTGTATAACCTATACAACTGGTTGATATGATAACGTCCGTGTCCGTCAAGCAGATATCGTGAAAGTGAATGAAACTGGTTAATAAGGAAAATATCGTAGTATCACATATAATAATATATATATTTTCATTTTTGTACATGAGGGACGCCAGTTTACAGGCATCATCAATTCGATAAATTACGCATACGATTAGTAAGCATAGTTAGTAAAGATAATATGATAAGGTACATACACTTTCCTAGCTGTGTAGGATACGCCAGTTGTATAGGCACAAATAAATCAACAAATTTATTCTCATAGTAGAGTACATGTGGCCTTCCATTGATGTTAAGAAAAGGCGTGTCAGCCACGTCTCGTAAACCGTCAATGCCCAGCTCTTGCTACGCTGGGACTCACGCTGTTCCTTGAAGTTTCTTAGAAACGCTTAGTACGAACGGACGCAAAAACCAGAACACAGATTGGCGACTCGAGAATTCTTTATTGTAACACCAACATATAGGCAGCTTTATAATTAAGTTTTAACTAAGGTCTATGAACAAATATTACAATAATAAATCACAATATTACTTCTGACAGTTTTGGTCTGACTTCTTTCTGAACAGCGACCGATGAGACGATGACTGGTGTATTGATGCCTGCGCGAAAATTCGGTAAGTTGGTTTTGAGCAAACAACCAAGAATTGATCGTTCAATCTTCAACCACATTGACACTCCCCGGCAAAATACGGATCCATCCCTAGTTTCCATCACGACCAATACGCGTTGACTTGGATGCCATTGCGAGAACCTGGGTCACACGGACAGAGCTGAAATGGAAAACAAACAGAAAAGCCAACACACCAAAAGCATACCCACAGCACAATCTCACACATCGATGACGACCTGCGCCTCCAGATAAAGGTATCCTCTTGACATCTTGCAACACAATCGCCACTTGCTAGAATGACTCTTGCAGAATGCAACGTGACCATAGCACCTCATGATACTCTACGCACATCCTCTTATCTACTCATTACCAATTACCACTGCAATCGCTTGTCACTCATTCTGCCTCAGTTCTAGTAGCGGTGACGCATGCGAGCCTCAGTCGTTTACACTCTTTCTCCCCGGCGTGTGGGACCGTGGCTAACAATTATCGCCGTGTGCATTTCATTCTCAGCAATAGCCTAGCCTCCCCGGCGTATACGACCCATCTGCTGTCCTTAACATCAACCAATTCATTCATGGATGTAGAAGACTAGAAACAACTTCAGAAGTAATCACGACGAAATTTTTAACAAAATTACGCAATAACAACAAGATACGAAAACAACAAGTAAACACAATGAATCCAAAAAACACCAATTGATATGACACACCACACTATATACAAACAGTACAAACAACCTCGCCGATCATGTCTTGGTGGAATTCCTTTGAAGAATTGCAGGACTTACACCAGTACGCCTACAACCCTTCTCAGGTTGACGCCCTAGGTTGGAAAATCGTCGCAGAGTTCATTTGCTGACTTCCCTCTATCAGCTATATCCTCAAATCTGAACGGTAACACGCTCATGTCATTGTATCGTAGAATATAGATGACTAACAAACACACGACGTATCTGATCAGCCAAGCATAGAAACAGAGTAATTTACACCAAAGATAATAGCATTCAAATAGTAACTTCAAACTAGAAATGCCTTTATTCATGCAAGTCAATTTAACAATTACTCTTTCGTTTACACTTGGCTTATTCTCACTAAACTGAGCATAATCTTTCGTCTTTTCAAATGCACCAATACTATCAAAATCATTGCACAAGATACTTGAGTTGATGGGCATCTTTTCCATTGTGGATGACAACACCAACGACTGAGTGACACAAGGTGATGAATTTAGCGGTGGATCAGAAGCTGTTGTTGTTCGGCTTTCAGAAAGTTGTCTAACTGCAAGGGGTTACATGCCAATTTCAGCACAATGCTCATCATGGCCTAGGAAGTACTCTAATCAGACACAGGGATCTAAGTCATATGCACACAACAACACGCCGATCACACATTTCGGTTATAACTATGCAGATTACACGACACTAGCCAACCCATATGACCAAAATTTTCTCCAGCGACAACTGGCAGAAACGCCTGGGATCATGCACATAGCACGCATGATATCAGACCAATTCCTTGCTGGTATAGCGAACACCTTACAACAGGGAAACTGCTTCTTCCCCGAAAGATAGCAAACATCTTATACACACCTAATACCAATAGTAATACCATAGATTATCATACTAGTATCTCCCATAGCACGCAATATCTAAACGACCAACTACTCACGAGTGACATTTCACAACCCATCCCTAACTATCAAATTAAAGAAACCGTCTCTAGTGATCAAAATGTTGTAATTAATGAATCCAATAACGACTGCACATATTCAGTTGATAACCATAGAGTATTTTATTATGATATTGCCCATACACTAAAACCACTTCGTCAAAGTCTATCCGTCATCCTCATAAATGCTAGATCAGTTCTTAACAAACATTTAGCATTATGTACGTTAGCCTCTATATGCAATCCGTCGCTGATCATGATCACTGAAGCCTGGTGCTCAAGTGACATTGTGGATGGTAGCTTATCAATTGATAAGTACAATCTTTTTCGAGGGGATAGGGAAACAGGTCGTGGGGGTGGAACACTCATATACGTTAAACAACCCATTTGTGCAACGCATTTTAGTCACCCTATTCTGTCACAACTTAATGATTCGGTGTGGGTCGAAATAAAAGTTCTCAGAAGTAAACCTATCCTTATAGGGTGCGTATACCGACCGCCATCATCCAACCGCGAATACGATAACGTACTCAGCAACATATTTAGTGTTGCATCCAATCTCCCCTTCAGTTATAATATAATTGGAGGTGACTTCAATTTGCCTGATATATCATGGCGTACACTTCGTGGACCCTCGAGGTATGATAATCTTCTTAATTCCATCATTACTGGAGGATGGACGCAACACATAAATGTACCCACTAGGTCCAATAACATTCTTGATCTTATATTCACGATCAACGTAGCACCATCTACAATTCATGTGGGACATGAATTCCCAGGTAGCGATCATAAAATAGTTGCATGTTCGTTTAACATTTCCCCAGAAACTATACACAGAAACGAAGTTAGTCGGACACCTATAAGACCATACACGCGGGTTGATTGGGACTTGTATCAGGACTTGATTAGATACTCTAATTGGGATTCCTACTTTACCAATGACTCCTTAGAGGAAGTCCTTAAAAACTTCTATGACAATATACAGTCGGTTAATGATGTCATAGCGCCTGTGAAACTGATTAAATTCAAAATCCCTCAAGGTGATTTTATTCCAATATCATTAAGAAGAAGTTTGCGGAAGCATTCATTAAGTTACTATAGACATGACGACTTATCGTCGTTAATCGCTATCAAAACAATCCTCATTAGAATCCATGAGTTAAAAAATCTAAGTCTTAGGAATAAAGAAACGCGGGCAATTCAGTCGCCACATAACACTGGAGAAATAGCCAAACTCTTCAAAAGTAGGTTAACTAACTCCAAATCAACATATCCAAAAATAATACACCTTGGCGGCATTACTCACGAAAGTGCTGAGGATATATGTGAGGTGTTTAGCACGCACTTTGCCAAACTGTACACTCTAGAAAATGACCAGGATATAGATTTCCCTCGTAAAACAGAAAAGTGTCTAAGCGATGTAGTCTTAAACGCCCAAGAAATCGATAAAGCTATCACAACTCTTAAGCTTACTAATACTCCCGGCCCAGATGGAATGTCTTCCGTCCTCTTAAAAAATGGTGGAAATGACATGAATCTACTTCTTCTCAAGATATTTTCAACTTCGATAAGGAGTGGAACATATCCAAATAGCTGGAAGAAATCCTACGTTGTACCCATTCACAAAACCGGACCTACAGCGGACATAGATAATTACCGCCCCATCAACATTACTTCCGTAGTTTCACGTGTGATGGAAAAGATTGTAAAGAAGCAAATTGTTCAGTATTTGCTCTCGAATGACTTAATATCCCCTTTCCAATACGGTTTCCTAAATAGAAGATCGTGCATTACGTGCCAGTTAGATTATTTCGACCACATTACTGAATGTGTAGACAAAGGTCGTTCGGCAGCAACATTATTTCTAGATGTTAGGAAAGCTTTTGATAAAGTCCCACATAAAAGACTCATA